GGCTCTTGTGGGATGATACTCAGCTTCAAATCATCATTCCTATAACTTCATTAACAAGATCTGGCATTGTTAGTGTTCTCAGGTGTTTGCAGAAGCAAATATTAATCCTTTCTGGAGAAAACAGCTTTTTCTATGAGTCAAATTCTGTCTACAGACAATTTTGCAAATTTAGTATCCAACACACAAAATATAATTAGGCAAATGACAAGACATCAGAAACAGCAGAGAATATAAACAGATCCACAGGAACTCTGGATGTCATAGTTATCAGATTTAAAATAGATGTGTTGAGAATTTTGTAGAAAGGTAAGATAAAAAAGAAAAATGGATATTCTAGAACTGATAAATGTAATCCTCCAAATTAGGGCCTTTCTGGATGTATTTTACAGCAAATTAGCCACCACAGAAAAGAGAATTAGTGAGTTGAAAGATAGGTCAGAAGAAAATATCCCAAATAGAGAAGGACGAAAGAATGGAAAATATAGGAGAGTGTAAGCTTACAAGATATAATAAGGAGTTCTAATGTATGTATATTTGAGTCCCCAAAGGAGAGAAGAGCGAGAATGGGGCAGAATTTAATGAGAGAATGAGTGAAAACTTCAAAACTGAGGAAATACTTTAATTCACAGATTCAAGCATCCCTACAAACTCCTAGTAGAATCAATATAGATCCCACCAAAGATGAAAAATCTTAAAAAGGATCAGAACAAATATTCAATGAGGTAGCAATAAGATTGACAGTTGATTTCCCAACAGAAACAGTGGAAACTAAAAGGCAGGGGAAAATACCTGCCAACCTAGAATTCTGTTCCCTGTGAAATTACCCAGAGATGCCATAAAAATGGTAAATATGAGGGTAAAACTAAATGAATATTTACTGGCTTGAAAAATGTCTTATACTGTTTTTTAGATATATATATGTAATTAAAGTATCTAATAACAATTGTATATAAATCTTGGAAGTGTTAAACGTCCTTGCATTGTCCAGGAAGAGGATAAAAGTGCTAGTTAAATATTAGATTGTGGTAAGTCAGTAATTCAGGCTGTAATTTCTTGGACGATTGCTAACAGAATCTTTAAAGAATGTATATATTCCAAATTAATGAGAGAAAAGAGAAAATTAATAAATAATACTCCAAATGAAGGCAAGAAAGGAGAATAATAGAACAGGCAAATAAAATAGAACAAATAGGCAAATAAAAAGGCCCTGGTTTAGAGAGACATTTAAAGCAAAAAGGTAAAGAAAGGCTGAAAGCATGTAGAAAGAAAAAGCAAACACTAATGGACAGAAAGTTGATATAATTAATATCAGACAAAGCAGACTTTAAGGCAAAAAGTATTCTGAGGAAAAATTCAATTTACTAGGAAGATATAACAATTCTTCATTTGGATGAACCTAATATCATGGTCTCAAAATGTAGAAAGCAAAGTAAAGAGACTTATAAGGAACCAAATAGCCCACAATCATAGTGGTGAATTTTAAAGGCCCCCTCAGTAATTTACTGAATAAGCGTACAAAAGCAAATCAATATGGATATAGAATATTTGAATATGATGCATGTGGAGACAGGTGTGTGTGTGTGTGCATACACACACACGCACACACACAGATAACACTACCCTATAGTACAGAATCCACATTGTTTTCAAGCACATATGGAGCATTTACTAAATTTACATACGCTCATAAAGCAACTTTCAACAGATTTCAAAGGTTTGAACTTCTTTAGAGTATTTTCTTTCACCACAGTTCAATTAAGCTAGAAATCAGTAACCAAAAGATAAATTTTAAAAATTGTCATAGATTGGCAAATTAAGCAATATTCTCCAAATAGCAAAACAAGAAATTAGAGTAGAATCATATAATATTTTGGACTGAATTATTAAAACACAGGTATCAAAACTTGTAGGACTCAGTTTAGATGGGAATTGCTTTAGATTACATATATTAAGTTTCTGCTTTTGGTGATGATGGAGTAAAATCTAACTCCCTTGCTCTTTCCGATATACCAAGATAACTATATCTCAGAGAAAGTTGTGTATATTCATTTATCTATCAAATATTTATTGAACACCTAACTATATGCCAGGCATAATATTAGGTGGTGGATATATAGCAGGTTTTCTTAACCTCATCAGTATTGACATTTTTGCTTTGTTATGGGAGGACTGTCATGTGCATTGTTTAGCAGTATCCATGGCCTGTACCCACTAGTTGCCAGTAACACTTTCCCAGTTGTAATAACCAAAAATGTACCTTAGTTTGCTCCATTGTAAAATGGAGGTAAAAATGATACCTGCTTTATAGAGTTGATGAACTAGGTAAGGTAATAAGTGTGAAGTGCTTAGAACAGTGCCTGGCATGTACTAGGTACTTGATAAATGTTAACTATTATTTTGATGATTAAATAAATCAAAATTTGTATATATTTCTAAACTGTAATAACTTTTATGAGGAGAAAGAATAAGACCTCTCCTCTTTGTACTCCCAATCTAGATTCATATTTTGCTGACAACTGACTTTAAAAGGGTATTATAAAGTTACTTAGTAAGAGACCAGACTATGTGACAACTGTGATCACTTTCAGTTCTCAAATATTGTGACTTTGTGATTGTATTTTCATATTGATAGAAGAGAATGATCAGTTTATTTCATTGTGCTTTGGTACTTATATTTATGAATAAATGTTTTAATATTGGTAATTAAAATTTAGAACTATTTTATAATAAAAATTGTTACAAAATATTTTATAATTTTAGGTTATTAGAGTGAATATTTTCAATTCGTTTCAAACTTTCAACTGTGGAAAGCTGTTATATTAGTTTTCTTGCTCTGAACTTCGCTCCATGGCGCACTCTTAAAAACGATGGAGCAATTGCAAACTTGATTGTGGTTAAATGTTTAATGAACTCTTGAGATTGAGAAACTAATGTTAGGCAAGTAAATGTAGACTAATGGTAACTCCTAAAATCAATTAAGGAGAGATGTGTTTTATTAGTTAAAAGTAGTCTATAATTGTATTTTGCATTGCTTAAGAAGTTTAAATTGCAAAATGAGGAAAGTGTTTTTGGCTCCCTCTGCTGTTTATGAAATAGCAGAACTAAATAACTATTTAAAACTTTATTTTAAAATAGTTTTAATGTTTTATTATTAGAAAATCAAATTTAAATATATGCTATTCAATGGAGAAAAGTTAGAATATAGCGATAAGCAAAAGTAGTATTTCTTTCCATAAGAATTGTACCATTTTGCATTCCCGCTGTAAATGTAGAAGAATGCCTCTTTTTCTACAGCCAAACAGTATATAGTCAAGCTTGTGAATTTTTTCCAATCTGGTAGGTAAGATGGTATTTCAGTGTAGTTTAAATTTTCATTTCTCTAATTATGAGTTAGATTGAACATATTTTTATATGTTTAAGGGCCATTTTTACATCCCCTGTGAATAGTCTGATCATATCTTTTGCCTATTTTCGTGAGTTTTCGTTTTTTTCCCCTCAGTTTTTAAGAGTTCTTTAAATATTTAGGATATAAAAGTAGGATATTCATATACATGGTTTTTCTTCCCCCTAGAGTTGTAATGGCTGAACCATAATTCTATGCATACTTTTCTTTATGGAAAAATTAATGCCAATTTATAAGAATTGTGGAAGTTCTAGATACAGTCAGGTTGTTGCTTCAGAACATTAGTGCATTCAAATTGGATGCTTGCCGTGTGTCAGACCTTTTGTTAGGTGCCAAGGAGGCATTGTGAAACAAAGCAATCATGGTGTTTTGTAGATTACAGTTTAGTGGACGAGATTTAAAAAAGAAACTTATAACTGTGCCAAATGTTATGAAGGAGACATAAAGATGTTATGTGATTGATAACAGAGACTTGGTTTAGCCTGGGTGATCACGAATGTTTTAGGACAGCTGTTTTAAGCATTGCAGAGTCAACTGACTTTTTTGGGATTCAAACTTGATTATTAATGTTATTTTTTTTTATTATTAGTGCTTCATTAGAACCATGCACCCAACTGAGCTAATTAGGTACATATAAACAAATTCTAGCATGGTCAAAATGTCAATTAAGATTAGATAGGAGGAGAACAATGAACTAGATAATTTCTAGTTTATTTGGGTTTAGGTAGAACTAATGTTTTCTTTGAACACTATCGTTTTAATCTTATAAAATGTTGGGAGTGAATATAGCATTTTGCTATGTTTACTATCTTGAAGGTTTAGGTTTTTATTAGTTTTTTAGAGATTGATTTTAATCATTCTAAATTGTCTAAATAGGAGTAGTATTTTTTCAATTCAGTGCAATCATTGTTACATGAACTATAGATGAGAAAGTTAACACTAATGCAAAATTTAAACTGAAACACATAGCATAATCTTGATGATAATGACGTGTTCAAGTGAAGTGTCTTGATAAGCAAGTGAAAAATAGTTGACACTTTATTTGAGATGAAATACACAAACGTGTGTTTATATATGGAAGCATATCTTATTTTACTTCATGGTATATAAAAAAGGAATTTAATAATTTAAAATAATTCCATAGAGAAGATTCTATCTTTAACTATGATTGTAGAAATATAAATATTTTCTCCTGTGAGGACTGCTGATACATTTTTCAGACTTGGTTTGGTTAATAATAATAATAATATATATCTTCAAATATAGTTTATTATAATTGAGTTAGATGTGTTGAAAGAAATGATCCATAATTTAGTTTTTAATAACTTCCTTTCTGTTGACAGTTACTATGTTTTAAATTGACTTCTAGTTATTATAGTGTTTCATACTGGTCAGTTCCTAAAACAGGCAGAGAGGAAGTACATTTGCTTTTTTCCACTGTTGGTTGTATTTTAGAGCCGAGAACCCCAGGGAACAAACTGTTATTACTGGTAGATCTAGTAGATATGTGCCCAATGAGCTCTGTTTAGCAGTCTTTGACATTACTCTGAAAGGAAAATGAATTTAATAGGAGTTTTACCTCATCTTTTTTTTTCAGACACTGGCCAAAAGAAGACCCTAGACAAGAAAGATGGGAGACGAATGTCTTTTCAGAAACCTAAAGGCACTATTGAGTATGCTGTAAGTTATTTGCTTTTGAAAAAGCTGATTTATCTTTGCAATAGTCTTATTTTGGACATTCTTTGTTTATACTATAAATAAGACAGGGGTTATTAATTGCCTTATTTTAAAAAATCTGTGCTTCACTTTTGATAACTTTTTTATTAATAATAATACTTGAGTTCTTGATTATATTTTAGGATTTTTTTTCTTGAAGAGAAATTTTATTGTGTGATACAATGATAGTTATTCCAGCAAATTCAGCGTAACATAGATGATAATTTACTGGGAGTCAAAGTTCCTGTGCTCCAATAATTTTTATTAGGTCAGGCTTTTAGGAAAATAGTTTTTTAAAAATGTGGTCTTCATTATATTCCCGGAAGTGCTAATGATAATGAAAATGGCAGACAGAAGACTTAAAAAATAAGTTGATATTAATATTCCAGAATAACCTCTCACATTAGATTATTTGCAGTGATTTATACCTAAGTTTATTTAGCTCTGAAAATGGGGCTTTCTCCTATGTTCTATCCTCAAATCTCCCTGGAGTCAGCTTTTCACGTTTCTGGATACTATGAAAAATTGAAGTGAGAAATTAACTTTAGTCTGTAGTGTACTGCTTCTTTTATTAAATGTATATATTGTTTATTTAGATAGTGTTAACATGTTATAAAGCAATTTTTTTAGCTCAGCTCAATTTTGTATTATTTTGTGTTTTTCTAATTGTTTGTGTAATATAACTGTATTAAGAAGGAAATAGCAATTTTAAACAATTTATGCATTTGTGTCATCATGAAGCAGTCTTGATTTGAGTCTTATTTTCCATGAATCCTTAAAATTGAACAAATTTTCAAAACTTTGAGTTACACTTGTTTTCCTATACTGTATAATTGACAATTCGAGATTTTAAGTATTTAAAAAGGTTAGGAACCATGTAGTTTAGGGTAGAATTATATTTACTACTATCAAAAGAATTTCTTCTTAAAGCATGTTATAAACTTAAATTGAGTGTGCTTGTACCCTCTCTGCATGATTGAGAAATTGAGAAAATATGTTCAAACAGTAAAATATTGGGTAATATAATTTAATGTATTCATTAGCGTTTATTATTAAGGCATAAGATTATAGGCATGAGGCATAAGATGTTATCTACACATGTAATCATGTGATTGTGAAGAACTGTAAAAGTTTAGTTAGTTTTAAATTCAGGAGTTTACCATTCTTTTATTGTAATTCAATAGAACTTGCATTACCTGTAGCAAAATTAAATTCAACTTAAGGACCATTATTTTTAGTGGAAGGTTAATTGAAACTTGAGAATATTTTTTTTCTTAATGTTATAATTGAGCCTTGAGAAATAATCAAGTATTGATCAACAAGGTTATAAAACATCTGCTAGCACTCTTTGTTTAGACTTTATTTTTTTAATTCTATGTTATATTCCTTATGCCAAATTCTAAAAGAAAGAAACAAATATGATTGTAAAATTGAGTGAGATATTATTGTCTTATATTCTGTTCTTATTATAATTTGTAAAATCTTCATATAAAACATGATTTTTGTATTTAGGAAAATATTTCCCTATATTTCTCTTAAAATAAAATATTTACTATCACAAAGTACTCTCAAACTGTCTTTGTTCTAAAATATTTATGATGTAGCTTAAATCTATTTCCAGACCCCCTAAATATAGTATAAATTAGTTTGTATTTTAGGTAGCTTTAAAGTTAAAATCATAATATGTGTGTGTATATATATGCATGCACACATACTGTTTTTAATTGTAAAATCACTTTCACTAGGAAAAGTAGACCTTGAAAATGCTATACATTATCATTTTCTTCCTAGTTAATGTAATATCCCTATACTTTTCTACTGAAAAAGCTTTCTCCAAGGTCACTAATGATTTTTTAATTATCAAACCCAGCAGTCTTTTCTTTGTTGTTGCTTCCTGCTCATTGTTCCTTCTTTGTGGTTTTACTTTTCTTCTTAAGGTCCTTTAATAGTTCTCTCAGGAACTGTGAATGGATAGTCAGGCAATGTCTGAAAAGTCTTCATTGCACCCTCATTCCTGGTTGTTGAGCTGTCTGTAGATTATTAGGTTGGCAGTTACTTTCTGTCAGCAGTTTAAGTATATAATCCACTGTCTTATGTCCCTCTGTTGCCTTTTTATTTTTGTTCATTTCTAGGCGGTCTTTATTCTTTTTTTAGATTGTTTTTGAAGTTTCCTCCTTGTCTTTACAGTTCTGCAGTGCCATTATAATAAGTCTAGATTCAGACAAATTTTTATCTTGCTTATCTTGTTTCTTCAGTCTAAGGAATCATATCATTCATAAATTCTGGAAAATAGCCATTATTTCTTTGATTATATCCTCCCCTCCTTTCTCTGTTTGTTTTTGAAACTAATTGTACTACATATGGCTATCATTATGATTCATTGCCCTGGTGTTACTGCTATCATTTTGCCTGTCTCCTTTGTTGGCTGTTCTGCTCTTCTTGATTCCAAATGTGAGTCCTCTCTTGTTTCTTTTCACTTGTCCATTTACATTCCATTGCTTGGAGAGCTTAAGAAGTTTACTATATAAATTATGTGGAGTGAGACCCAAACTTTGCTATTCCTACCTTTCTAGATGCTTACGTTTCCTACTATCACTTCATATTTAACAATTTGAAACAAACCTCATACCAGTTCCTTCTGCATCCTTGCCTAGTGCTCAATTTTCTTATTTCCATTTCCCTTCAGTCTGTTATTCATCCGGGTTAGAATTTTGGGATTCAGCATCAGTTGCTCATTAACATTTGCTCCCCTTATCTACTTCTACTACTACCATCGTCACAACTTCCTTCAATCCGTGAGTGTTTTCTCTTGTCTTACTTAAAAATCTTACGCGTTCATCTCTTTCTTTACATTTTTATTATCTTAAATCTGATCTACAGCAGTAGTATTACATTGGATCTTCTGCATCCATTCTCTTGTCCCCTTAATACAAGACCTGTTGCCACTAATCTAAGATGCCACTCCGGCCATGTAACTTACTTGCTTTATAAACGTTAGTGTTTTTTATTACCTTCATCACCTCATTTAATAGGGTCTTTGTAAGGGTAAAATGTGTAGTAATTAATATGAAAATACTTTGTAAACTTACAGATGTTACTGCAAAATAAATTTGTTTACAGAGAACTTTTACATATATTATCTCAATAAGGTAGATGATATAGCATCTTATTGGATAGATGGGGAAGTTTGCACAGAAGGAAGGAAGCACAGATAGATTATTAACCCATGTATTTGGCATAAATTTGGTTTTACAGGACCATTAAAAATATATATATATTCATTGTTTGTTACACCCACATACATATCTACTTTTTCTGACCTTTAAAATCTTCTATAGCCTAATTCTGAATATGCTTTCAATCTCATTCTTTTTAGTTTCTCACCTTCCTAAAATCCTAAATTCATAAGTATACTCTGGATGGTTTAGGAGGAAGAGATAGTATCCCACAAATGTGTTTTGTACTTTTCTGTCTCCTAACATGTCAGTTCTCTTGTCTTCACTTTGAATGTTCTTTTCTTTCTCTCTGCTTCTCAAAATTCCTACCTCTTCTTCAAAATCTAGCTTTAAATCTTTCCTATAAAGTCTCTCCTGGACAATTTGGAACAAATATGGTGCTCTTTCCATACTCAACACTTTTATTGCATTTGTTGTTTTATTTAAATTGCTTTTCGTCTTTTATATAAGCTTTTTTGTGTTTCTTATTTTCCAACTAGGTTGTAAATCCCTTGCATACAAATGACTTAGTTGCACTTAATTTTATTCTCTACAGAACTCTCATAATGCCTATGTATAGAGGACTCTAAAGGAATATATTGATTGATCAGATTACTTTTTCTTTCAGGATAATTGGAAAAATCCCATGACTTAAGATTTCTATAAATATGATCATTACAATATACTGACTATTCAGAAACCAGTTACTCAACTTTGGTTCAGATATGTGTTCTAATTTATACATTTAAATAGCAGAATATATACATAAAGATCGTTAGAAATAGCATTTTAAGTTTAATATAGGCATACTTCGCTAAAATGAAATTGTATGTTTCCAGAAGTTGCATAAGTTTTAGAAACTATTTAAAAGAATAGTGTATTGTTTTAAAGCCTTTGTAAAATAAAAATCACCTGTTTGTATTTTGTAAATTATATTTTGTATTTTGAAATTGTTTGAAGTAGAGGCCCACATGTAATTGTGATGTCTTGTGATAAAGCATATACTCTGTATCGTAATAGGTTGAGACCGTTTACTAACAAAACACAGAATTTCTCAAGTTATTTCATCTCCAAAGATGAAAATATCCCTTATTAATCAAATGTAAGATTGCTCCATAGACATATTAATGATCATCAAACCTCATAGTTTAGTTTTTCTGTTTTAACAGGTTAAAATAATTTATTTTTTCTTTTAAACAGGTTGAATCAAGGGATTCTTTGAATAGTATAGCCCTGAAATTTGATACAACGCCCAACGAACTTGTTCAGTTAAATAAGTTATTCTCCCGAGCAGTTGTTACTGGACAGGTATATATGTTTTTTAATGCATTGGTGTTTAGAATCATTAAGTAGCAAGACAGAAAGTATGCATTGCAGTATAGGTAACAATATAGAAAACTTAAGAAGAATGGTTTTTTTGCATGCTTTGAACAAATCATATTGCCTCTAGAAGAGAAAATTAACTGTCACTTATATCCACATGAATTTTTATTTTTTTCTTTTCTTTCTTTCTTTTTTTTATGAGGAAGATTGGCCCTGAGCTAACATCTGCTTCCAATCCTACCCTTTTTGCTTGAGGAAGATTGTTGCTGAGCTAATATCTATGCCAGTCTTACTCTATTTTATATGTGGGACGCTGCCACAGCATGGCTTGATGAGTGATGTGTAGGTCCATGCCCAGGATCCAAACCGGTGAACCCAAGGCCCCTGAAGCAGAGCACGCAAGCTTAACCATTATGCCATGGGGCCGGCCCCAATCCAAATTTTTCTTAATACATATTGAAAATAATTGTGTATTGTCTTTTCAAATACAGTTTTAAAGAGCTTTTTAAAATATTCAAAGCAGTACATGTACATGATCGATAAAATTAATTTTTAGAGGTAAGTTATCGTATCTCAGACTTCCAGGTTCCTTTTCTAGAAGCAACCACAGTTATCAATTTGTATCCCCTTCCAGAAATATTCTAGCCTTTTTTTTTAAATTTAACTTTGATTCTTGGAAAATGTTCTACTTAAGCACAACTTGATCTCAGACTTTTTAATGTGTGTATAGTGTAGCACTGTATTGATAGAAATTACTGCTTAGGCACAATAAGCTTCAGGCTGTTTCTGCTCTTTTGCTGTTGTAAACATTACTGTAGGGAACACTGTTGTACATATCTCTTTTTCTTTATATGCAGGTATTTCTGTAAAGTCCTAGAAGTAAATTTGCTGAGTTAAAGGATATGTGCATTTTAGATTTTGCTAGCTATTGCCAGATTGTCCTATACGAGGAACACCCACAGTGTATGAGAATTATTTTTTTCCCACCTTTCCCTGACAGTATGTATTATCCAGTATATATTATCCAACTTGTCTAAATTGAATTTAAATGTCTTTTTCTTACTTTGTTAGAATTATTATGGTGAGAAATATTCTTTTAATTTGAAGATTTTTATTTTTTCTATTTATTGCTGAAGGTCTTTGTTAATGGTACTTGTTTATAGAACACCATCTGTTTAATATTTCAGTTTTCCTGAATCCTGTGTGAACGTTTTCTTACAGGTTTTATATGTTCCTGATCCTGAATATGTCTCCAGTGTTGAGAGCTCTCCATCTCTAAGCCCCATAAGTCCTCTGTCACCAACATCGTCTGAGGCTGAATTTGATAAGACCACTGTACGTATCCTTGCTTTTCAAAGATAGCTTGAAGAAATCTCACTGTATATGTATATATCATCATGGTTTTTTAATCCTACTTTGACTATGGTTAGAAAGAAATTTTTTACTTTTTATTTTGTTACTTAAATTTGTAAATCCCAGTTTTTAGAGTGAAGCATTCTTATTTAAACCAGGCAGCTTCAATTGACTTACTATTGGTGATGGTGGTTATCGAAAGATATTCATCAACTTTCTCTTATAAATAATGTATTAACTAAAGAAGAGTTTTATCTAACAAACTTGAAAGTATCATGATATGAAGTCCATGTTCAATGTGATTTTTATTTTAGTTTCTGTGAATATTTATATAGTACTTAGAACTGAGTTCATCTTTAATACACTGCCTTTTAAAAAATAATTTGTCATCATCTTAGTCATTCTTCTGAATATTAATTCTGAGCAATTAATAGTGGATTAATTTATCTAACATTTTTAAGGAATGAAAACATTCTCTATAAGTTACATTTTACAAATGAATTTCAAAGAACCATACTTTCTTGAATTATTTTCATTAAAAAATCTCTGAAAGGAGTTATATTTTTTGTGCCTTTTCTGTATAAATTAATAATTATCATTTCCCGTTTTCATAATGACCTAACAATTGTGTTTACATATGAAAGGCTATTTCTCCATTAAATGGCTAGACTCCTGTGGGATTCTTCTATGTTGCTCTGCTGACTTTAGGAGGCATCCTTTTTTTCTCTGCCCTGGTTTGCACTCACAGTTTAGAATATCACATAGCACACTGGTAACAAAGCACAAAGTATTAATATTAATTTGCCTACAAATTATTAGGCATTATTAGTTTCTAAACTCTAGTATTTAGACTAGTTCCACTTTTTTTGTGAAGTACATGATATTATTGATAACTATTTTTCTTCTTGCCCGGGGATTTTTTTCTGTGTATTTGTGTATGTATTTGTGTGTTTGTGTGTATGAGAGAGAGAGAGCCAAGTGGGGTCTTTTTCAAATGTTTATTTGTTGGATATCTTATCTGTATAAATGTGACAATGCTGTACTTTAGAATGCGGTCACGTGAAAGGAATATATTACATTTATCCTCATCATTGATGACAAATGATGTCAGGTTCTAATGATAGGTATTGCTGGACCAAATGATGCAAGAATACCTTTTTGAACATGGCCATGCCATTTTCCATGGGATTTACGAAGAGATGTACTCATAAGGGGCAACGATAAAGGAGAGCAGTATAGCCTTAGGTTAATTTAGCTGTGTTTCAAACCCTAAAGGAGAATTAAAAGCTAGACTGTAGCATTTTGCCTGACTAGAAACCTGTGGAGCCCTTTCTTTCCTTGAGCTTTAACCCAAGTTTGCCTACCAACTGGCTTTATTGAAAGATCAAAGAGAAGAGAGTGCTGAAGCTCCAAGGAAGCAACAAGGCCAGGCCTCCTCCTATGTGAAAATATTCTCTTCTTCACTTTTGCCATATTGGTGAAAGAGAAGGAGAGAATAAAGCAGCCACATGAATGACCTTTTAACCTGCAGTGACTCAGCTGCTGTCAAAGATGACCCAGAAAGTATTCTTTAATATAACCAGTCATATGAATAAATTCTTTCTCCCTGAGATGGATCCAGGAAAAAGGTAAGACACCGAAGAACTCTTGAAGTTCCCTCTACCCAGATGATAGCCATCACCTGCTTTCTAATTGTGGGCAGTAGTTAGGAAATAATTACTAAACAGAATGCTATAAACTTTAGTTGTATTTTTTTAAACTTTAGTTGTATTTTTTTTTTTGCCTAGAAATATATTCATTACTAGACTCCAAGATAATAGCCCTATATAACTCTCTACATATCTCAAGTGCTTCTATCTCTGTATTGCAATTATTGGACTTATGTCTCCTATTCTACCTATAAGTCCCTTAGAAACAAGCATCTTATGTTTAATTAGATATAATTCATATTTGTATTATATTAATTAAAATAATGTTTATTAGCATTGTCGTTATATGTTTTTCCTCAAAGTTTTCCATTTGTATGTCTATTAGTCACTGATAGGTTTTCTGAATTTTCAGCTTTGTAGTGGCTTACCTATGAGGCTAAAATTTCATATTCCTGGGTTTTTTAGCATAAAGGATTGCAGTGGTTTTTTAAATAATTTATTTTTACATAAAAATATTATCTTCGAGATTTCCAGGGTCAAACAATTTTTTCCGTGTTTTTTCTTCACATATTAGTGAGGAAACATAGAAGGAGGTAAAACCAAAGTGAGAGTAGGTAAATGATAAATTGCTAAAATTTACTATGTGTCAGTTATAATTCTAAGCACTTTAAAAGTAGTATTATTTAGGCCTAATGTCAAACTTATGAGAGAAGCACTTGGCCTGGCTGTCTTTGTTTTCCCCTCTAGATCCATTCTACACCCTTCTCTAGCCTCCTTTGGGCAATAGACATTAACTGGCTCCCTTGACCTTTTGCTTCTGTTGGTTTTTGCCTTGCAAGAGCATTGGCAGAAGATCAGAGAAAATGAGGAAGCAGGGGCATATTTATTGAGCTAGCTCCCTCCCTACAAGGTCACCCCAGAGTGGCTACATTTTCAACGTCTTATCACCTGTCAGACAACCCTTTCCACAGAACCCTGTCTGTCTCTAGGTTTAGGCATCTGCTTCTCCTCCTTACCTCTGTAGGCCTACGCATGATAATGAAGCCTCTGTTGCTGTTTGCCCTAGATTTTCAGAGACAGTGCATACTTTTGTAAATATTTCTATTATTAAACTCTCTTAGAATTATTCAATTTCGTGTGCCCTCTGTTTCTTCCAGTACCTGACCAGTACAGTATTTAGTTTATAGACGAGGAAACTGAGGGAAAGAGATTAAGTAATTTGTGTTTAAGATCATGCAGTTAGCTGGCAGTTGAGTTAGAATTCCAACCCAAGTAGTCTGGGTCCAGAGCCT